GAATCCATTTTTAATAGTTATAAACATTGTGCTGTCGAACTAAATTTATGGGCCGTTCTTGAATTATGGATTTGGAACATACTGGATTATGGTGTGTTTCATTTACATATTTCATTTGCTAACCCAGATATCTGCACAAACGGAACAATGTTTTAATAATGAGACGGATTATGAAAAAATCTGGATCATCATAAGTGTAAATGTCATGCCATTCAGGAGTTTCAAAGTCTACGAAACTGGATATAAACTGGCAATGAAGGGATCTTCAGAATGCGAATTTGTCGTGACGTTTATAAAGATCTATTTCGAAACTCATAGGGATTCTATTCAGCTTAAAAGTAAGTGCTATTTCTAGATCTACTCCACAGACTCGATGATCTTGTTCAAGTTGTTGCTTGTTATTCATTTTTGTAAAGTTTTCTATCATGCATTGCAACAAAACTGTTACATCATGTAGATACAGCTTTGTAAAATAATCATGAAACGACCCCGAGAACATCATGTACATTTTAGAAACATGACACGTGCTTTCTCCCGTTCATCTTCAAATGAAGAGTACTTCGGCAATGGCTACGGAAAATAAACAACAGAGATTTGCCGTAGAGAAATGAAACTTTGCTTTTACAAGAAAATTAGACACTTTAGAGAAAAATCCTGAAAAATCTCGAGGGTGACTTTTTTTTAGTTTACAAAAAAGTTTTAATTTTTATTCAACGTGTTTTTATTAATTCATACCAGGCAAAAGTTCATTTCCATTTTTAATGGGACAGACTATAGACGCCGCTTGCAAGCGGCGTCTAATAATAATAAACGGTTAATGCACTTTTATCGTACATTAACATCTGTAGATGCAAGGGCCGGACCCACAGTTACGTTTCTTATAATGAAAATACCAGGGCTGCATTTGCCTAAACAATTTCTATATGGCGCACCAGCCATGTTTAAAAAAGTGCAAACAATGACACTTGCTTGTGTGATTTTATTCGTCAATGCATGTTTTTCTTCTCAGTTAATCAGTTTCAGTTTATTTGGCAATCAGCAAAACATTTGCCTTCGGTCATTTACAGATACAAAAAAAACTTACAGTAAAGAAAATAACATACATGTGAACATAATACAGCACAAAACAAAAGAATAACATAAGACCAGATGGCTGAACAACTTGTCGTAAACATAGAGCTTCTTAAATATATTTTGCAAGATTATAAGAATATTGTTTACTTGGAGATAATATTAAATTTGTGTAAAGTTGACCAGGAACACTGTTTTAAGTATTTGAATAGTATTAGGCTGTAACGTGACCAACATAAAATAAAATGGTATCCAGATTCTATTGTATTTTGCATTATCTATTATTTCTTTCTACATTACTGTATCACCTTAATAATATTTCTTAAGCATCGTGAGCATGATCGTAATCTGGTTAACTAGTATATGTTGCCTTGATTTATCATTCGGTATAACATCTAACAAAATTCAGTTTTAAATCTAATTTTGACATTAATATTTGAATTAATATCATTACTCCGTTCTTAAACAAATTGATCACTCACGCATGCTTTTAATAAACTGTAGTAGTTAACCCTATAATTAAAAAGAACAACAACAACAACAACAAAACTAAAAAATAAATAAAAAATAAATAAATAAAAAAATAGATCTTAAATAGATTTTAGATAGAATTTAATGCATAGTTATGTTGCAAAACTTTTCTTCTTACAACTGCATCGACAATCCGGTATTGATTCAAGCGAGAACATTTTCCACAAATAAAACATAAAGACAGTAAAAAGAAAGTACATTATTAGCTGCCTAAAGCAAATAACATTAGTAGGCGTAAGTTGAATATTGAATTAAGAGCTAGAATTAGCTACATTTTCAACATTGATATATTGTGTATAGACATATAAGTAAAGAAGGCAATTATTCATATTCAGACAAAAATTCTATAAAAAAAATCTTTAATATACTTTTGACGATGCCTTAAGCAATGTGTGTGTTGTCTTATAATCATAATATTACAGATACTTGTGTCGGTTTCGATCATTTTTTTCATTCGGAAAAAAAACACATACAGAGTCATTGTAGTTCTCTCCCTTGCAAGAGGAATGCAGCAACTCTACTGTAATCTCAAAACTAACAAAGTTCATGTAAACTGTGTACAAGTTAAAACAGAAGTATTGATCTTCATTTAAGTGCTTTAGTTAAAACCTGTGTGATGTTTTATTCAGATTAGTCCGGAGACCGATCAAATATACTTTATGTTGAGGTTACCAGATTTGTTACTTCTCAATGCATACAATTTTGTGATTATTTATATCATTTTAGATATTTAGAAATTTCTACACAGTATATTTTATGTAATAATTTCTGTAATGTACTTGTTACTCTCTTATCTCGCGGTTTGAAATTTTATGATTGTTTAAAAATCATATCTCATTTCTATAGTAACGTGCAGTTATTTTTACTTGACAGATGTAAGATTTTCCTTGGTTGGAGGTACCTGTTGATGTTAAAATCTTGAACTATTACAAGGTCGGGGAAAAAGAGGCATGGTTTTGTAGAAGAGGTTCCAGAAGTTCTAAATGATACTGTTTGTTGCAAGATGCCCAAAATTACTAATTTCGACTGCCTTAATTTATCCTATCTATATTCAACCATATTAGATATCCGGTTTAAAACTACGTCAAGGTAGATTAAAATCTCACAAGCTGATATTGTGGTTCGATATAAGTAATGCATACATTTCGCCCAAGCAACTTTGTGAAAGTATATGTATGGTATGTCTTTTTCTTTCTTGGTGGGGTGAATGTTGCAATTCAAAGTTTCTTGTCTCGAGAATAATCTTATAGCCATGGATAATATCTATTTAAATTGCTGCATCAATTTCTCCAGTCTTTCAAAATATCTAGAATCTATGAATCCACCTTACCAAAGTAAACGATGAAAGAGATGTTATCCAATAGTATTCATCTGTGCGTTCCATTCCGAAATATTACTTGAATTATTCAATTGCTACAATCCTCATTTCTTAGATTTCCAATTTAAGAACAGAACAGAACAGAACAGAAATTTTATTTTTGTAGACTTATACAAAGTACATCGTCTTGTTAACATGAATTGAATAATACATACAACATAATCACATAAATATATGTATGGCGAGTCATTATAATAAATATAAACATAACAATTACAAGCACCAAATTCATGAGAGGATAAACTACAATTGAGCACAGCACGTAGTATTGCTGTTGAACACAAAATGATTTATATATTTGACCTGAGGTGGTAGAATGGTTGTTTACAGTATATGGACATATGCAATAATTATTAAAGATAGCAATAAAACATTCGGTTAATCATTGTGCAAGTGCAATTTTGAAAGTCTCGATTAATCTAATTATGTCATGTAAAGAATCTATCAAGCTTACTTGTGGAAGGTGGGTGGTTCTACAGATGTGTCTTCTCATATCCTCGTGTCATAGATAATGTGCGGAGAAAAACCTATAGCATATACCCTGGGTATTTGTCAGAATTGTTAGAAACTGATATAAGAGTATTGATAAATAATACACACTGATCTGAAAGCCAACGTTTGTTGTACATTCTTATTTATTATTTTTAATTCTATCAGGGAGTCGAAATGTCTTGGGGTTAAAAGTCCTGCAACCTTGCGAAGTATAACTATCTTTCCGCATTTTCGGGACAAATTGACATAAGATTTACTTAATGAGATTTAATTTATGATATATATCAACCCATTTGTCTGTGTGCGACATAAGAATTACCAAAGAAATACATAAAGTGTTTCAGCATTAACTGAAGTCAATGCAATTTGTTGAATACAATAATGAAATTGAGCGAGATAGTGCAAGACTTTAAAAAAAAAATTTGATTTTTCGTGTATGAATGCATTTCTGTATAAAGAAAGTTGAGACTAAATATTTAATATTCCTTTAAGGAGTAAATTTTTATTTAAGTAAAAGTGAGGAAAAGGTCCCTTTTTCTTTCCAGATATGCGGTACTAGTCAAATATGTAAGCCCAATTACATTTTGTTCAGATTTTCGAATAAAACATAATTTACCTATGAATAAATTTTTAAATATATTAAATGATATCTGTTCATGTCATATTGTACAGTGAGTGTATAAAAAGAAAACTTATATGTACGAGGGATTTTCGATATATTCGTGGAAAATTTATCATAGAATATTAGGGGTAGACTCTTACGTCACTTTTCTCTATGCTGACTGGCCTGGTTTAAAATTACAGCTCAAGGGGAGATCACTCCAATATCATTTTCCTGGAATTCTTTTTATATGTTTTAAAGTTCCTGTCAAAATGAAGCCCACACACATATTTGATTCTTAGAGGTTTTATTGTGGTATCAAGGTACTAAATATATTAACAAAAAGCATTCACGGTCTACTTAGATAATTGCGGGCAATAAATCTATTGTACTATTGCTTTTAAAGGACATATCTAAACTTGTTTTCCTGCGATTGAATTTTAGTATGCGATATCAATGGTAAATTTTGGGAACGTCTATTCATTCATTCATTCATTCATTCATTCATTTTTTCAATTATGACAAAATACTGTTAAAATTTATTTCTTCAAATCAGACAAATTTCACAGCTGAATCATGTGAAGAAAGAAAAAGTTATAATTTTTTGCTGTTGACGAGTCACTTATGAATAGAATGTATTAACTCAGGTGATATTGGGCTGTCTGTTGATCATTTACCCTATATAACTTCTTTTCGCAATATTTAGAACTCGATTTAAACCTAGACTGAGAACAAATGGCGGGTATTATTCCTATAACAAAACATTGAATATTTCATCAACAAGTTTGGTATGGCAGTGAACAAGTCTATTTCAGTTAATTTTATAGTTATAAAAGTCAACTAATGATTGGGCTAACATCTTTGTATACGTGGTGGATGTCGTTGTAGCAATGTGAACAATGAAAAGACAAACAAAAACAACACAAGTAAAAGTTATGAATAATTTATTTTCTACTGGATGTCATGTCTTCCACAACAAACAGTTTAGCAAATGCACGACAAATTTATCATTATCATACGGTATTGCTAATAACAAACATACAACTATAAAGTCCAGTGAGAGATCATAAATGACCTCATAACTACAAACAGCTTTTGAGATCAGCTGGAGTTAAGTTGTCTAAAGTGTCTTGAGATATATGTTTTTATATTCCACACACTTATTCCACATCACGTTTAAATGCCTGTTTATTATAAATTATCATATTTACATTTTATAATGTTTTCCATATGCGTTGCTTTGAATTAAGAAAAAAAAGAGTAGCGACGTCTATAAGGTTGTCTTGAATAAGTCTTGGCATAAAGTCTGTAGTGTCTCGTTGTGTATTAATAGACATCCATACTTCAAATTCTCAAAACTTAAAGCTTGCACTTAAGTGTGTAAGTCAAAGGATCGATTAGAATTAATGGTTATCCGAGTATATGGGAAGTTTTTTTTAAAATGAAGGCAACCGGAAACGGAAGGAACTGGCTAAATCGTGGACTCCAGGTTTTATTGTCATCACCCTCACCAGACGACGAGCGAATAAATGTAGACATGAGGTCAAGGAAAGTCGATTGGGATAAACTAAAGTCACAAATCCTGAAAAATATACAATAATATTTAAATATCCAGTATACCATAAATAATGTATGTAATATTTTTGTTAAGAACCTAATATGTAGTTTTTCTTTTTGTAAAGATGTATAACTTTATTTAATAAGAATAAATCATGTTCTAAATGAATAAAAGTCCAGTTAATGACCTAAAACATTTGCTTAAGTAGTTATGGTGTTTTAATAGGTTTAATAAGAATTAATTTTATTCAACAAATAAAGTATGAGAATTGTAAAGTGTTCAAATGAATATGATTAAAACTAAAGGAATGTTTATATGTAGCAAAAAAGTTTGGTTAGTATGAACACTCAATTTCCAGTTAATACAAGTTTAACTTTTGCTGAAAACATGAATCATAATAAATATCCGTTATTACATCAATGCTGAAGAGTAATAAGCTATATTCTTTCCAAACTAAAACCTTCTTTATACAACACAAAATATGCGTGTAATCAATAAAAGCTTACAATGCTATAATATGAAAAATTAATAGATATGATGATATAACTGAATTATAACAACTTAAGTTATCTATATCATTTTATCTTAATTAATACGTATATTTCTTTATTTAGTTTTAACGCTTAGTTCAGATTTCTTATCACAAGTCTAAAGGATATGCTTTACATTATATAATCTTTCAATTAGATAACATATTTTCTATAACTAATTAGGGTGATATGTTTAGAGAGGTGTATTATTTAGGGATCGTAAGGGTACATGTAGGAAGGTTTTCTAAGTTTTATAAGGATAAAAAGGGTAGTTCGTTTCCAAATTCGGATAAGGTAAGGTTGGAAATGGTCTACAGATAAGTACGTATAGACAAACGGTTGGTGATGAGTCTGTGAATCTGGAAAATATCTAACAAAGTCAGGTTCATATAAGGGTTTCCAAAAGGAATTGATATTATAGGGTTTACTGGGCATTTTCACTCTTGGTATGACAGGTTGTTTTGAACCTAATGTTATAAAATAAAAGAGGAAAACATGACATGTTGGGTTTCACCAGGTTGAGGGGACTTACTCTCCCTTCGTCTTCATATGCGTAAGAAGGCCTGATTTGTTCTGATGTATTTGGAGCAACATCAGAAGTTGCAGGCTCTGCCTGACTCGTGTCAATCTCTTGGAATGTGTCTGCACATCCCAGATCAGAGTCAGGACTCAAAGAAATGCATCTTTGTGTAAGTCTTGTCCAATATTCCTATATATGTAGTGCCATTATATGATATATTAAACATTTGTGAAACAATGAAATTAAGCAATCGAAAAAGCTTTCTATTACTGTTAGTAACATTGATACATTTACTTTGTTTATTGTTAATTGTAAAAGAAATACAAACGTATACTTATATGTAAGCTCTATACCCTATTTAAAATGATTATTTTAAAAGCATTCAGTTTGTTATGCTGTATCCATACTTTTCTATGCACACGAATACTATTTAACTGTTTGATAAAAAAGAACCTGCACGACTTTATATACTTCATCTTTCTAATTTGGTGAATTTTGAAATGCATAAATATAAAATCAATATAAATGATTTTTAAAAGAAACACTTGTCGTTGAAAATGTTTTATTTATTTTATCATTGAAAAATGCATTCTTAATCTGGACACGCTATGTATATTTTGATTTATTTTGAATGCAAATGCCTAGGAAGCTGTCAACTTCAAAAGTGAGATAAAAAAAGTTACAATGAAATGATAAAAGCATTTAAAACAACGATAAAATTTCATCACTGCAAGACCAAAACACTCGAAACCTACACCATGAACATGAGAAAATGATATCGGGCTGACTTTGATTTAAGTTGTACGAGTAAGTTAATTGTATTTCTATTATATTTGGAATATTTTCCCAGATGTAACATAACATCAAATATCGAATCTTTTGATAACTAAGCAGACAAACTGATCCTTAATGTATGGTTAAGCTTGGCTTTTCGTAGCAGGTTGATTCTTCTGAAAAATAGGATATCGACACGCAAAGTTTTACAGACGAAAAACACTTAGAAATAACACTTATAATGATTACACCAAACAAGCATCAAAAAAAAAGTCAAAGCATAAAAGATGATAGATTACCTAATAAGTTACATAAGTAGCTTAAGATTCCGTGGTGCTAGACGCCGTAACGGAGGAACGCATCTGAAAATAACGTATATAGAACACATATATTTACAACATACAAGAAAACACAATTTGAACGTCTGAACAATTACTTTTTCAAACAACACTTAACACAAATACAATAAGTAAGTAAATGGATAACAAATTTCTGAAAATACTTTTTGCTGAAAAATTGACAATGTTCAAGTTTATTTTATATCTTTTCTATTTTACATATATATTTAAAACAACTGTCATTAACTTAATGTTTTACTGTGGTGATTATACTTACAATTGTGCTGCCGCTGCGCATGGTAGACATGCTACGGTTTTGTACGCGAACCTTAGCCAACATATTCTCAGCGGTATCGGCACGTGACTCTGCATCCTCAAGCTCCTCGTGAACCTTGCGGTATTTTGCGAGATTAACAGCAGCTACTTCTTCCTAAATGATTGAATATAACGTGAGATGTTTAGTTGCTTGATACTTCTAAATGTTGCATATTCTTATAATGCTACAGAAATTTTAATTTACATATTTTATATTTTGATAATACAAAACTGTAATTACCAGCGATATTCTTTAACAATTGTTACAGATTGCTAATACAAGCAAAGTACAATATAGATTAATTTAAAAAATAAATAAATAAATATCATAAATAAATAAATAAATAGAAAGATAAATAAATAAATAAATAAATAAATAAGAACAACAACCTGATTATGGCTAAATGTTAAGAATTTTTTTCTCACTTTTGCCTGCATACTTACAGTTAACACTTAAATGGGAATAATGTCACTTTAAGAAGGTTTTTTGTGGAATGTACATATTTGATAATGTGTTATTTATACTTACAGCGTCTTCGGCCTGGCGCTTGTATGTCTTGATTTTGCCTTGAAGTTTGTCGATGAGTTCCTGCAATCTTTCAGAATTCTTTCTATCTTCATCAACTTGGAAGGCAAGTTCCTTCAGACGGCGATCAGCTTTACGGGCATTCTTTTGAGTTTCTGCATGACGCCTTTGCTCAGCTTCATATTCAGCCTCCAACTGTTGAACCTGATTTTATGCACACAAAAAAAGTTTATTATATGCAGAACTTCGATATACATGTATGAAGCCTTTGCAAAGCTTCATATTTAGCCTCTAACTGCTGAACCTTGTGTAGGTTTATTATATACGTTACTTCGATAAACATGTATATTGGTTGTATTTTACTAATCGAAGATAAATTTTCATTGATAAAGTTGGTTTAAAATTAATATTTAATCAAACGTTTGTCTTAAAACATTCTTGATTTAAATGCTCACCCTTGATTCGAGTTTAGCAATCAATTTCTTGCCACCCTTCAATGCAGATGCCTCAGCCTCATCAAGACGGAGATTGAGTTCTTTCACTTGGGATTCGAGGGCATGGCGCATTTTCTCAATAGAAGAAGAGTGTTCCTTTTCAGAACGCACTTCATCGGTCATACGCTGAACGTCAAGAGCAGCTTTCTTCGATTTCTCTTCGGCTGATTTTACTTCATTGCTCATTTCGTCTAAATCTGCTTGCATAGCGGCAATGTCGCCTTCAAGCTTTCTCTTCTGACCACTTACGCTTTGGAGGCTAGCAGCAAGCTCATTGACACGATCAGCGGTTTCAACAAGTTCATTTTCAGTTGCTTTACGTGCTCTATCTGATGACTCAAGAGCAGATCGGATTTCTTCACATTCAGCTTGAACGGCACTAGTACGTCTTTCAGCCATTTCATATGCATCACGGGCATCATTTGCCTTGCGTTGTTCTTCCTCAATAGCGGACTGCATTTCCCTAAGTATTTCTTGCATTCTCTTCACATTCTTCTCAGCATCTGCCCTGGTGCGGTTGCTGACATCCAAAGACGCTTCGAGTTCATTAATGTCTTGCTCAAGCTTCTTGCGTATTTTTTGAGCCTCTTGTTTACTCTTTACCTCAGCTTCCAAAGTTGCATTGACAGAATCAAGAGCTCTCTGGTGATTACGTCTAAAAAAATGTATTTTGAATTATATACATTGTGTCACTGATATCATGGTGGTTTAGGTCAATTTATATGTAAACGCTACTTAGAACCTTCATATATATTCTATATATTTTTTGTAAATTAAATAATAGGTTTTGGATTGAAATGAATATGAATGGATCGATATAGTTTTTACATACAACTGAATATGTAATTAAGTGTCATTCAAAGGAATTTCACATTTCATTATATTTATATCACCTTGTGTTTTCGAATTCTTCTTCCTTTTCGGCAATGCGTTTGTCAATTTCGGACCTAATTGTGTTGATCTCAAGTTGAGCACGTGAAACTTTGGACTCTTCTTGTTCAAGAGCTGACTCAGCTTCCTCAAGAGCAGCTTGGAGCTCTTCTTTTTCCATTTCGAGTCGACGACGGGCCTTATCATGTTCATGTACCATTCGTCCACCTTCGCCGAGTTGGTCATTTAATTCGTTGATCTCATCTGAAAAAAATGTTTAAAATAATACTTATATGATACTTTCTGTGGAAAATGCTATTTTTCGTTTTGATAATCAAAAGATCTCAAGCATGTATAATCAACAAAGTATGCATTAAAAATAATTTGAATAGACTGTTAAAATACATTTATCACAGACTTTGAAGGTTCATAAAATATGACTATTAAAACTCATCATTTTTATAACAAATAAAGACATTTACCGGTTAAGTTCTTATTTTCCCTCTTCAGTGTCTCGTTAACATCACTGCTATCCTCCAATTGTATCTTTAGGCGGAATACCTCAGCTGAATAATTACGTGCTTCCTTTTGTACATTTTCAAAGTCATTTGTCAAAGCTCGGACCTTAGCTTCCCATTCTGCGATAATTTTATCGAATGACCTGTTTCTCTTCTCCAACTGATTGATTGTTGAGTTTGCTCTATCTACATTAACAACAGCATCCTCAAGTTCACCTTGGAGTCTAGTTTTTGTCTTCTCCAGGTTATTGATCTTCGTGTTTGCAGTATCCAAAGCAGCTTCACACTCTTGAAGCTTGGCTTGAAGTTTACGTTTAGCTTCTTCAAGCTCATCAGCACGGGCCATTCCCTCGCTTTCATATTTTACACGCCATGACTGAGCTTCAGCATTTGCTCTGGACAGTTGCCTTTGCATATCATTCTTGGCTTCAGACTCTTCCTCCAGTTGTTCTCTCAGTGAATCGATGTCAGACTGAAGGTTTCTAACTTCAGTGGCAAGTTTCTGACGTTGCTGGAAAAAAATCATTAGTATGTAAGTATCATAAACCTTAGTTATTATATTATTGTCATCATCATCATAAAAAGTTTTAATGGAAGACTTGATCAATACGAGACTCCTATAAGGAAAGTGAGAATAAGTAATATAAGTGAGATATTAATTATTTGTCGCATGTAAGGTATACATACTCTGCTCTCCTCTTCGAGACCTCTCTTAGCTTCTTCGAGTTGAGATACCAAGTTAGCCTTTTCTCTTCCAAGCTGATTCAGTCGGCTTTCAGCATCCTCAAGTTGGCGGGAAAGGTCAGCATTTTCATTCTGCATTCTAGCCTTGGATGAGTTGAGTTCACTGATTGTGCGCTGACTCTCTTCAAGTTGAGCGTTGAGTTCTGAAATCTGGGCCTCCACTTGTTTGGACATCTTGTCAGACATTCCCTGTTTACAATTGAGTAACACGGACGTGAAAGTTTTGAACATACATAAAAGTTGCACTTTTTTTATCATATCTATAAAGCTTAAATCATTTAAAAAAAATTGTGTTCGCTTATTTTCATTTAAAGTGAAATAAATATTCACAATTGCAATGAAATATTTTTGACTGATTGGAAAGATATAAGCTAAAGCAATAAAACTGTCTTTAAGAACAATTGAAGTGTTATGTTTGCTCACTCTGTTTTTAGAGACGTGTTCTATTTGAGCATGGAGATCATCAATTTCACTCTTCAGCTGCATCTTCTCCTTTTCAACTCTATAAAAAGAGACAGATCATATAAACAAAGCATTAATTGTCTCATTTTAATTTCAAATCTGTTATTATTCTATAGGGTCATTTAAAAAGATGAACTAAGTGCAAACGTCTAGAAAGTTGGAAATGTCTTATCATATACATTTATTTACACAAGTTTACGTAAATGAAATTTTGGTTTAAATCCCATATAGAAATTAGTAAATGATATGAAATGTTACAATAACGATTTACCTTTGCTTCGTCTTAGTTAGTTGATCGACCTGGTCTGCCATCTCGTTGGCTGCATCATTGGCCTTTTTGCGGAGGGATGCAATCTGAGATTCGGACTGAAGTGCTTGTTCTTCAAGGTCACGTCGGAGCTTAAGCAGTTCCTGTTCGCGTTTCTTGTTCAATTCAACCTGAGCAGCGGTAGCACCACCAGCGTCATCAAGACGTTCGCCTAAGTCTTCAAGTTCACGGGCAAGTTCAGCTCTCTGTTTCTCAATCTAAAAGTTGACATCATATGATGAATTTCAACATAATATATCCCATATATTTTTTGTTCTTTGTTTTTTTTGTTTGATACATTTTATGTGCATTACTTGTATTAGTTATGTTGTTTGAAAATGGATATCACATAGTTATTATTCATTCATCATTTATGTTTGCCAAAAATAAGTAAAGTCAAACCTTTGCTCTAGCAGCTCTCTCAGCTTCCAATTCTTCTTCAAGTTCTTCAATGCGAGCCAAAAGTTCCTTTATCTTTCGTTGAAGTTGAGCTACGAGACTCTGTTCATCCTCAAGTTTGGAGTTTAGAGATTTTATTTCCATATCTTTCCTGTAACATAGTAACAAGTTTGATTTATAAAGAATTGCATTTACACACATACATAAACTGTACATAGGTTGAAATAAATAAAAAAACATGTATATAATATATTTTTATTTTCGTAGTCAATGTTTGTACATTCGAGCTCTTTAGATTTTCATTCATTCCCATGTTGACAAATAATCTAGAACACATGGGTCTAAATCGTAAGTACTGTTTAAAAGTAAAGATCTCACCTCTTAACATTTCCTTCAAGATCATTTCTTACACGTTCAAGATCTTCAACAGCTTCTTGGGTTGATTTAAGATCCAATTCAACCTTCCTCTTGGCTTTTTCAACATCGGCACGTACCTTCTTTTCACGTTCAAGATTGTCTTCCATCTGCATGTAAGATAAGATTTATTTAATTAAAGAGGTAAAGAAAAAAGTCTCACCTAACAAAATCAAAATATATTCAAAATAATGTTGCTTGTATTTTATAGTAAATTAGTTAATTTAATTTCATTAAGATGTAAATAGTAAACTAATCATATAACAAGACCAATGCATACCTCATCAAGAGTAGCCTCAAGTTTTTGCTTAACTTTGTTGAGATGGTTGACCTTATCCTCTTCAGCGGCAAGAGCTTCTTGTGTTTTCTTAACAGTTTCTTCCAAATTCTTCTTATCCTTGTTCAATCTGCCAATATTGTCATCTTGAGAAGCCATTTCGTCTTGTAGTGTTCTTATTTGATTATCTTTAGTTGCTTTGTCCTGTTCAGCCTTTGCAAGAGTGCTTTCAAGATCTTCAATAGATGCTTTCAGTTTAGAAGCCTCTTCCTCCATCCTTTGTTTGACAGCTTGAAGTTCAGCAGCGGCATCTTCTTCGTCCATGCATCTCTCTTCGAGGTCCTTGATTTGAGCTTCATAATCTGCCTTCGCCTTGATGAGGGTCTCCATCTTTTCTTCATATTCACCCATCGTGTCCTGCTCTGCTTGAAGTTGGAAGAACATATCATCCTTTTGCCTTCGTAAATCGACATTTTGTTCTTCCAATTCTTTCTTTATTTTTTCAATTTTAGCAAGTTCTTCTTTGCATTTCTTAAACTCTTCCTCCATCTGTTTCATCTCATCTTCAGCACGGGCAGCACTGAGAAGTGGCTTCACTTTGGTGTAAAGTTTCCACCATTGCCAGTTCCTCAACACCATCCATTTACGGATGTTTCTTTGAATTCTGGACAATCCAGTTCTGAAATGTACATTCATATTTTATGACACAATTAAATATTAATATGCATGTATATCATTTTAGGAGAAGTACATAAATTTGAACAAATGTTGTTATCATATAATCTCATATTTTATAAATTGTTTAAATTTTGCTTGCAATTCATGAATAATGTTTAATATAAGTAAAGCTTTACCTTTGATCTTGAAGTTTCTTGTACTGTTTGCGCATACTATAACCTCTGATCCAAGCCTGGAAGAGAGACACAATCTTGGAGAGGCGTTCGTCACGCATGTCTTCAAGCATACCCAAAACACCAGCTTTAAAGAAAACTTTGGTGTTACCAATTTTGTACTCTGCAGGATCCATTTGTAGAGCTTCGAGAATCTTCTCGGTGACTTGTTTGCCTTCACAAAATCCTTGTGGGATGGCATTTGGAGCAAGGATTGAATATCTAGAGAATAATATTTAAGAATATAGCGCCTATAATTTAGTAATAAAAAGAAGGCAATATCATTAACTGTCAGAGAAAATAATGTTGATATATATCCCCTTTATCATGTGTTTCACTTATTTCTTGTTCTTTTTATCATTTGGGTGAATTAATAAAGCTAGTTTTTTAGGTATTCCATATGCAATTAATTTTTCTTATTAACGGTACTTTTTTCAAATCCGATAAAGATTAGTTGATAAGGTTTAACAAGTCTATCTGACGATGCTTTCATGTTAATCACAGATTACAATAAACTGACCTCTGTTTGAATTCTCCGTAGAGTACTCTGCTGGGGAATCCCTTTCTACAAATACGGATACCTTCAAGTACACCGTTACACTGAAGCTGATTGAGTACAAGAGCGGCATCAATGACACCTGGAGACTTGGTCTCGTTGGGAATGATGCAACGTACAAAGTGGGGGTGAGTGGTGTACAAGTTCTTCATCAGCTTGTTCAGAGATTCCTGTTGTAAAAAAAAAACATTTAAAGAACCAATCACTAAAATGATTATAAAAGCTTTTTAAAAAATCAATGACTCGAAAAACGTGACTGAATTGATAGTATATGCTATTTATTGCAGTTCGGATGGGAATGTATGTCCCTAGAGTAACGAGGGTTGCAAATTCTACCATATCTTGAGGAGTTTACAACTATAAATTAATTTTCTATAAAATATCAAGTCCATACATCCGTAACAATTTATTACAGTAGTCAATAGCGCATGGATTTACAATTACATTCATAACGGCGAAATGACGTCATTGTAGGCATACAATGTCATTCTAAAATGCACAAAAATGACTTTTTTAACGCAGTTTATTAATGAGATGTGCCGAAATGAGATATATTCTTTTATCTCTGGACTCCATGGCAATTGAAATAACACTTTGCGTTTAAATGATTCAAATTGACTGAATAAATAGTAGTTCCAGAACTTACTCTGTGCACGGCTGAGATGGTCTGGAAAGCAGAGGACTTTCCCTTCTTCTTGCCACCGCCACCTTCGGCTGTAAACAAATAAAGGAAATATTTGATAGATGAACATAGTTAAATACGCAAAACTAAATTTACAGTAAATATAATTATGTTTACTAGAATATTATGCACAGCAATGAAGATTATATATTGTTACTGCATGAAAATTGTGTCATCTAATATCTACATTTCAGCTTTCATCATCTGATATTTACTTTAAAGAAACTCAATTACCAGCAGCTGGGTGAGCAAAGAGAGCAGCAACAAGAGGTTCCTTTGACTCGCCGAGGATTCCAACGACAGTTTCGTTAATTGGATCTTTGTTCTTCTCAAGCCAGTTGGTAATATTGTATGGTACCTGAAATTATAGTTATGAAATATTTATTATGGCCGTTCGGGGATTAATGTCACCCCTTTTACATAACTTAATTAAATAAAGTTAATTTGCTCAATTAATGATTAAGTGGTATGAACTTCAATCAAAAGTCAAGATTTATTATCACATAATGGAATTTAGGCAAAGCTAAAACCGAGGCACGCTTATTTTTTTTTAAATATAAATACTATCACTTACTGCTCCAGCGTAATGACCCAACTCAAAGTGAGCACTTCCACCTCCCTTACGACTCTTAACAGGTTTCTGGAAGTTCTTCGTCTTACCAAGATGGTTAATCATCAGTTTCTCCTCAAATGTTTTATCACTGGCTTTAGGGAACATGCATTCTTCTTCAAGGATGGATAAGATACCCATAGGCTGAAATTAAGAAGTCATGTAAGTAAGATGATTTCATTAAGTGAATTTGAAAGCAGCTAATTGATAAATAGTAATTTCTTGAGAGAAAAACGCTTCGAATGTAAACATCGTCTTCTATCTTAATATGACATTTTTGCGCTGTGACAAATACATAAAGAATTTATTTGTGTTTTGTTAAGAACGATTTACCTTTTCAATAAGGTCAATGCAGGCCTGCAAGTCCATACCAAAGTCAATGAACTCCCAGGCAATGCCTTCTTTCTTGTATTCTTCCTGTTCCAGTACGAACATGTGATGGTTGAAGAACTGCTGGAGTCTCTCATTGGTGTAGTTGATGCACAATTGCTCAAAGCTGTTGAACTGTTTATAAACAATAATTATTAGCACAGATACTTACAAATAATAATAATAAATTTAAAAAATCTAGTGACTTAACTTAAATGTAAAATATAATGAAAAAAGACTTATAAAGTTTAATTCCGGGTATAACAATTAAGTATTAAATAGTTGCAGCACTTACGTCAAAAATTTCGAAACCGGCAATATCCAACACACCAATGTAGTAATTCCTCTTTGCTTTTGTATCAAGGGTCAAATTGACTCTCTTGACCAGCCAGTCAAACATACGAGCGTACATTGACTTAGACATGGCGCTAACGGAATATACAACTTGATCTTTGTTTCTGCCTTGAGTGACGAATTCAGTGCCGACCTTGATCTTGGGTTTCAAGAAGCCCTTGAGCAAATCACCGCTGTTAACACCAAGAAGGAACGCGACCTTTTCAGCCTCTGCAATGTTATATAATATCATATCAATGCAATTGAATAGTTTGCAAACATAACAATTACAAAACCGTATCTTATATCACAAATATTGATATTTATTAACAAATCAGTTAGTATCATTTTAATATGTAAAGAAAAGTTATTTACCAGCTGTGCCATCGGCTTCAGCCTGTTCTTCTCTTGGATGTTGTTTCCATTTCATCTCACCAGCGTGTAAGACAGCGGCAGTGATTTTGTACAAACTGTTCTTCTCGTCCTGGGTGAAGCCCAACACGTCGTAAGAATCCTATAAATATATATAAACACCCAAATTAGCCGAATATTTTCCAACGAAAAAATTAGATAAATTTTAAAGATACCGATACAGAAATTTCATATATTTTTAATATTTCTGAAAAATAATATATTTACATCAGTAAGATTCATTTCCTCTACGTCATCAATACCATCGACAGTGAGCACACCCTGGTTGATAAAAGAATAGAGTCCTGGGTCGGGCTGTACCAGACACATTTCTGGAAAAGGAACAAAAGAATACGATGTGCTCTAAAACACAAATTACTTTTTCACTGACATTTTCTTTTAAAAATATATAATTGGAAAATGTGTATGTTTAATTAAATGACTGTGACTGACTGTATGAAACAATAATACTGTTATTGCGTTTCTGTCGCTTATGATTTAAATAATATTTACAGATTAAGGTAGAAAAACACGTACCATGGTATTTTGGAATTGCATTTGTCAACATCTGGTAGAAGATGTGGTAATTTCTCTCAGCCGATTGCTGGTATGTTACACGAGACTTCTCCAACAGGTCTTGAAAAATTTAAAAAAAAATACAGTCATTTAAGATAACTTTAAATAATTAAAGTTTGTCAACAGGTCAATTACTCTAAGTCAATTCAATTCATCTTCTTTTACTTAAATTTAACAGATATGAATACAATATCTGTAGACAATTGCAAGCATTAATAAAATACTAGTTATAAGGCATGCTTTATAAATAAAATGAAACGTGAACATTAACTTACAAGTCTCGATATCGGCTCCAGCGATCTTGCCAGTAGGACCAAAGTGGATACGGATAAATTTACCCTACGGATGGAAAGGGAGTCAATTAAGAATTATTGGTAAACAAAATGTATTAAACTGTCTTGTGATTTCTGTCAAATAAGAGGTAAACATATATGCTTAATTTTATCTTTTTAAATTGGAAATGAACACAATTTTACCATATATAAAACATGAATTTTCATTAAAACTATATGATAATTCGTTTGCCGATGATTTTAACAGGAAATACTTAAGTACAAACTATGTTAAAAGTTTTGCACAAAAGTCTGGAAGACATTTCAAATTGGAATACTTACATAACATGATATTGGTAGGATATTTTGATATGCGTTATCTTATCCAGGTGGTACAAGCTAAAACAGAAGTTTAAAAGGTAAACAGTATTAGATTTGTGAAGGTGTTCTGGATGAATGGAGTTCACAACGTGCTCAATGCTTGACAGGGTAAAATCATTCTGGTAAAATTTGGGAACTGAAAATAAATCTTCATTCTCACACATGTCCTGAGAAACCTAAAGGTAAATTGAGCCGCGTCATGATAAAACCAACGTTATGCGATTGCGACTAGCATGGATCCAGACCAGCCTGCACATCCGCACAGTCTGATCAGGATCCATGCTGTTCGCTTACAAACTCTATTACAAAAAGAGAAACTGATAACGAACAACATGGATCCTGATCAGACTGCGCGGATGCGCAGGCTAATCAGGATCAATGTTGGTCGCAAACGCATTACGTTGGTTTTGTCATGACGCGGCTCAAATGAGTAAGAATCTAATTTTTGACTCAACTATTACGGGAATTGTTAAATGATAATGGGACTATGTGCGTGAAAATGCTGATTTATTTCTAATAGAAAGAACTTTTGAACAAAACTTAAACACAAACATTGTTGTTGTTATTTTTTCCAGACAAATTTTAAAATTTGCCCAAATGAAATATTATAAAAATGTTTTTATAAGAAAATGATATTCTTAAACAAAGAATTAGGTATTTTTTTCAAATGTTCTTTTATGCCAGATGTAAATGATAAACAATCAGGTTTCGGAGCTGAAAAAAGAAAATTAAGTTATATAAACAGTATTAGATCGGAGCCACGCTCAACAATAAGGTTCACACAAAAGTTAAAGTTATGTTAAGGTTTGGAAAGCAAATATTTAACAAGGAAGTCACTCGGAAGTCAATCATTCTCAGGTAAATCACTCTAAGGTAAATCACTCAAACATATGTTAAAACAGTGAGGATACAATGTATATGAAATTATCAACCGGAGAAGAATGTTTTCTAAAGATTCGAACTTATTGTTTATCTTTGGTTCAATTATTTTTTTTATTTTGTTTCTGTTGAATTTTATGGTCGATAATTTCACACACTTGAATAAGGGTTTTCGTGGGAAAATAGGTAAACTTGTCTCGGTCATTATCAATTTAACCTAATGTCCATATACAAGAGCATCAAATTACACATATTGGCTGCCATGTCTGCGTGTGCAATCAATAAGATTTGAATTTGTCATGAATTTTCACAGAGTGTGAAAAAACATATCCATAATTGACACAAATATTCTGGTATTTGTTTATAAGAGATGAAAATGTAATGTTTCACAGACTGTACATGCCAATGTGAAGGGGAGGGAATTTCGAACAATTATTACTTACGAATCTAGAGGAGTTGTTGTTACGGGTTGTCTTGGCGTTACCGTAAGCCTCAAGTACAGGGTTAGCCTGCACAATCTGATCCTCAAGGGTACCCTGTAATATATATTATGTTTATATAATATAGGATGTAAACTTGTCATTATCATGAGGTATTTTTGTATTATAGAGAACAATCTCAACATAATTATTCTTTATAATACCAAGACATTCAATACAGAATACAAGAAATCAGTTATTAGAAAACGTTACCTTCTTGGAGGCCGCGGCGGCTGCCTTCTCTTCCTCTGTCTGTTTCTGGAGTTGAGCGGCGACCTTGGCGAAGTACATGATTACTTTCTTTGTGTTCTCAGTCTTACCGGCACCAGACTCACCACTGCAAATAGTATTACATGTGTATTTGAAAAATGATCAATTAAGTTTTAATTTCTTTAGAATGATAAATAGTTAAAAAGGAAAGGAAAAAAAACCCATCGTACTAAGAATAACATTGTATTTATAAGTACATAAACATGTGCCTTTGGACATATATGGTATATATAACTTTTCTGTGTTCGCTTATATCAATGTTCTGGCAATATCATATCTGCAATTGAAATTGCAATCAAAAAGTATCAATTGGACTAGTATATGATAAATAAATCACTCACGTGATCAACATGGACTGGTTTTCACGATCTGTAAAAAGAAACATTAAACTTAGTATTGCACATTTTTACATAAACAAGAATTATGTTTCTATCTTAACGTGCGAAATTTTAAGGAAAAGAAATTATTTAAAAAACAAATTAAACATTTAAATTGTTCAGATATAGGTGACAATATATAAATAAAAGTTATAAAAGTTACAGAAATTGTCACATTCTTGTAATAGATACAATGTTTTTAAGTGCCGATTCTTTACCCATGATGAAGATACGTGTAAAAATAAATCATTCCTTCAATAATCTCTTCTTGTCTGTAATCCGTGTGTTACCATGGAAATAAATGCATTTTGTAGGAAAAAAGGGAGAAAGTGCTTAGAATCAATTATATTTTACCTATGATCCAGAAATTGTATTAGCTTGTTTAATTGGCCGCGGTATGCCCACAGGTTTGTTGGCTTAAAGCCTCGTTTCAGATAACTTAACATGTACATGCTTCTACCTAGGTTGATTAACATTCTTTTTTTTTTTTCATTTTATTGCTTGACTTCTTAAAGGTGCATACAATTGTTTCCCGATTTTAAGGTAAACGTAGTAGTTTTAGTCGCGTATCACCTTTATTTATGCTATATCTTCGGATTTGAAAAAATGAAAATAATGGCCACATAAATTATTAATTTTTTTATGAATGCATGTATATACTGTTCAGTTGTTGATTATATGTTTTCTTGGTAATAACAAACATATACATTACATATTAGATTAAATAGTACGTGTGTACATTGTATATTAAACATGTTGTCAATAAAAATATCATTACCCTGCAACATGAACTGGAAAGCGTTATCAGATACGGAGAACAAGTGGGGTGGCATTTCTAACTTCCTCTTGCCACGGTACTTGGAGATGATGGAGTCCAGGTAGATTGGCAGACGACGGTAGGGGTTCACAGCGACGCAGAAGAGACCAGAGTAGGTCTGAAATGATAATTTGCTTGTTTTAATCAGATTTAATAGTCGAATATTGTAGCAATATACTATGCCTTAGAAATGCATCATTTTTATTTCTCAAAAACATTTTTTTTGGTATTTTATTACAATTTTTAAACAAATATACTCATTTATCTCCGTTGGTAATGGTTTTATTATAGTTAATTAGTATGTATATGGAAGTCAAAATATTACTTTGTTTATATTCTTTAACCTCTACGACACATTACTGTACATTCAGCACTACTAACTTTAGTTGTGAAACATCTAACTTGGTCTTGATTCATTATTAAAACATCGTTAAATACATGTTTAACATTTTTAAAGAATTAAATAAATTGATTTCTAAGGCATAATGTGCAATAAACTTGTGCATGATGTATCAGCAATAAATAGTGAACCTGTTTTAGATGGTTTTGTTAAAGAGAAGCAGGGAGTTCACAGATAAAAAACTTACATAGATAAATCCATTGAAATATCTCTGTCTCAAGTTGTTCAACACAGAGGCTTCGTTCAAGTAGGTCATGTTGGCCATGTCATCTGTCATCTCGAACTTAGGTGGGTTGACCTGCTGGAGGTCATCCTTCTTCACTGTTCTATTCTGTTCGTGGAAAATAAATATTGTGTAAGATATTTGATACATGACTTCACAAATGGATAAGAATTCCCTGAATACTAAAATACTTAAGTTCAATGCCCAAAAGATCGTTTGACTTACACTCGACAAGTGTTTACAGTAAGAAACATTAATGTTACTATGTTTAACTAACTAGTCATACAGAACCGATTACGGTTTAAATTATGTTCTGTTGACACTTATCTAGTTCCTACTATAATAAATTCTACTTTTACAGAAAAAAAGATTGGTATAAACATCTGAAATATCACTTAATTCTACGGAAATAGATAATGAACTTGAAGATGAAATACCTGACTGTTGCTCAAAACCTTGACTGTGATTTCATCACCTTTAGATGAGACAATATCTGCTCTGACGAAGCCTTCCTTCTCGTCAGGGACCCAACACGCTTTCTTGCCATCAAAAGCCCCGGATTGTTCTTTCATCAACTTCATACGATCTACCGCCAGGTACTTGAAGTCCGGGTCCTGTGACCAGTCAGTCGACATTGTTACGGTTTTTAGTGACGAACGGCAACAAAAAACGAAAGAGAAAGTTTCAAGACAACCTCAGGATAGTGCCAAGACTCGAACAGCTACTTCACTGTAATAAAACAAACAATTTAAGATTATTCAATAATTTTGCGTTGAAGAAAATGCAAAATATTACAGGATAATTTTCCTGGTTTATACGTCTATTTAAACACATGTTTGACATATGAGCCGTGTCACGACAAAACCAACATAATGTGTTTGCGACCAGCATGGATCCAGACCGGCCTGCGCATCCGCGCAGTCTGATCAGTATCCATGCTGTTCGCTTACAAACCCAATAACAAGTAAAGAAACTGATAGCGAACAGCATGGATCCTGATCAGACTGCGCTGGTCGCAAACGCATTATGTCGGTTTTGTCGTGACACGGCTCATATATCGGCGGTCGATCCAACTAACCGGTTTTCTTGGATAACTTATTAGAAAGAGAACAAAATTTGTTCGCTTAAAACGACTACAAATAACACGTGAGTTCTGACTCAATGGTGAAAGACAACTACTCTTTAGACTGAATATCTGACTTATCGACACGGTGAAATTTTGCTCCCCCCCCCCCCGATGATCGAGCCAGCGACCCCAGGATTACTCATTTGATGCTTTACATATTTAGCTAAGCAGATGGACTAATGCTGTTACTTAATGTAGTAATCTGCAAGAAACATCATATGTAATTATTAAGATTGGCATATATGAAGGGCTGTTAGAGATTATATATATGAATTTTATTTTGTTACAATTTGAATTTTGTTTTTGTTTTTTGACAAACGTAATTCTACATGGTTTAATATCTTTAAAACAACAACCACTTGGTTAAACTCTTAAATTGTTCGTTTCCGTTATTTGTCATAAAGTGAACATTAACCTACAGCCTGCTGTTGTGTTATGTTATGGCTTTGCCCTCCCTTGAATTAAGACAAGTTCATTCAAAGTTTAAAGGTTTTCAATACAAAAATAAAAAAAAATAAAATAAAATGTAGCAACAGTAAAGAGCCTGGCCAGATTGCACGACTGTACAAGCTGTTTGTAAAGGCTAATCATTGACGATTCTAATCATTTTACGGTTCAGTCAGATAAACATTCTTGTTATTTGATAAACACTAATAACTATATAATATCTTTTAAATTACTATAGAATGGGCCTGCTGATAAAGGTCACTTCCGGTTTCATCCGGATAATGGTTGATAATTTTTTTTATAAAACATTTCACTACTTATCACCAATAATTGGCACGATCTTAATACATACTGACTGTTTAAATAATCTTACTCTTTGCTTGCTTATATTATAATAACAATACGAATTCTTTCTTCTTGTTAATGCTACGCGTAGTTCAATAGAAAATGAAATATTGCACCATTATTATTTTGACCGATCGTTTGCTATGTTAAATTTTTTCATTTAACGCTTATCTTGACGATGATGTTGCATGAAAGAAACTCTTGTTCTAACTCTATAAAGTTTAATTAACATCCACGTGATATGTATAGTTACATTTGGATTTTTTTATATCTAGTATTATGATATATCAACAACTAAATGAACTTTTTGTAATACTAGGATTTCTCGAATCACGTGAATTGCAAAATAAAATTAACTTTTTTTTGTTAATTAATTGATATGCATCAGGAATACAACATGGCAAAACCTGTACATTAATGTTCATTATCGCATCAGCATTAACTCGTATGTTCAGTAGCAGGTACAACTTTCTGTTAACTGATAGCGCTTGCACTGTTCATTTGTGACCATGAACTTAGTTGTTTTTTCTTCTTCAAAAATTAAGTCATAATATTTTAATAATGAAATATGATTAAAATATTTTTCGTTATATAAAGAAGTGTGTGTTTTTTTTACATCGTATAAAATCATATTGTATCAATCGCTGCATATCAAATTATAAAATTATGCTGACTATTAAAACATTTTAATTGGTTTAAAATGCGACATGCTTTAAACAGAGATAAACGTTAGGATATTTATGAGAAAATAATCGAATAACTGTAAATCCAAAATCCGATTAATAAACACAGTATGTCCATTGCTTTTTCCTTTCATTAAAACACTTTTGAATAAGTAAAAGAAATGTACAAAGGTTTCAAATTACAAAGGTTTGAAAATTTCAGGAAGAGTGTGAGTAAAGTTAGGTGTGAAGAGTTAGGATTTGTTGTAGGTAAATGGGCACACAGAGGAAGAAAGGGTGAAATTAATAACTTGTACTTACGGTTGGAAGAGCTAGTTCTTGTGAGCGCTGCTAGGATATCAATCTGTTTTATACCGCTTCCTGGTATCAACTTCCGTATTTTAAGTAACGCGGAATCTGATTGGTCGAGCCGTTGAAAGCGATGTATCTCGGCCAATCAAAATGTATCTTATGACAGGACCCGGGATTTCTCTATTTGGCTTTTCCGATTATCGTCTGCTGCAAGAAAACAAGAATTTTACTGTCATATGATCGTCTGCTTCTGATCAGATTTACTTTTAACTTGCAGACGATCTCTTTGGAATAAAGATAACTTACCTGGGGGCTACACATGTGATTATTTGAAGAATATGAGTGATGAGATATAAAACGATAATTCACCGGTAATAAGGAACATGGAAATAAAGATGACTGTCTTGATAAGTTTGGTGATATATTGCTTAACTATAATAATAGAATATGTGATAGATATCTAAGAAAAGTACAAATTAGTCTGAAATAAATATTTTCCTTGATTTGTCATTTCTTTTTAAGTCAATGTTTGCATAGTTTTTCATAATTGAAAATCGTCACAAATATGTGCATTAAAATACTTCCATTGTTTTTTCTCAGAACCTTCATATTATTAATTTGAAATAACATATCGGGTTTATTTTAAATAATTGTTCTTGGTAGAATAATATCCCAAACTACAAATACATTTTGGAATTAAGTTTCAATGTTTACAAATAGTTGTTATATTCACTACATATATAGAAGATTTGTTTATTTGAAATAATAATATTAAGACATTTAATCGTACGTTTATTTGTATAGATACACCTGCTTTTATTGTTTATTAACAATAGGGAAGAGCGCAATGCGTTTGTGTCTCTCGACAATTTACTCGGCATAGTTACAAGACATACTTACCGTTAAATATTCCCAGAACATAAATAAAGGTAAATATAAGACGTTTTTAGTAATTTAGTCATCCAAAGAGATGTAATTAGTTTAACATATGCAAGGAAAAATAAGCTACACTAAGTATACGTAGGCGGCATATAAAAGCATAAAATTCTTAGATATTGGCATCAACAGCATTGAAATAAAATATGAATAATTTCGTTTGTTCAAGGTCACATTTGTAAAAAGTATGCGTGGTATTTATTTTTTTATAACAAAAAATAAAAAACAAGTGAATATGTTTCTAAGTGAATAATCAGAATTTCGAGATTTGTTTGAGAAAGGTCAAAGGGAAGACTCTCGCCAGATGTTGGCTATGTGTAGAAAAGATTTGAAAGAAATACGAAATTTGTTTTAAGATCATTTCAAATAACATCTTTTTATTTAAGAATGTTTACTTTATTCACCTAGGTAAAAATGGTTTCTTCATTTATTCTGGAAGTCCTAAACTCTGGGTATATTTACGAGAACGAAATGCGCTTAATTATTTCATTTCGTCGTTCATATTTTATTTCTTCAGATAAATCATTCGTAAAATATTCTTCTCCATTAAAGTAATTTAAAGGTAATTTTTTCAGACACTAACTGTGCTGCTTTTGTCGTGTTCATCTTCATGACTTTCGAGAAATAGAACAATACATGTCATGACTAGCCCTTTTGATAGGTCGAGGTATGAAATCTACACTTCGGAGGGAAAATAAAATGATTATTCGAGAAAAGATCGTGTATAACACGGGGAATATTTTTGTTAGTTGGCACAGCTTCAGTTCATATTGTCTCAGATCGTAACTGATGATAACCGCGGGGTTGATGATGAAAGCTGATAAACTACATCTACTGCTAGGTGCACGTGCAGCGTTTGTGTCGAATCCATTTGATAGCGGTTACATTAGATCACATAAATGCCTTAGGATGTATATTTACAGACTTGCTAATGTAAGCAAATATCTGACTTTAGTTATTATAATAATAAAATTAAACAAACAATGAAATCGATACTTTTTGAAAACAAGCATACTTTCGCTTGAATAATGTTTGAAGAAAATGAAATTAGTACTTTTTGGAATTTACAGGCATTATATCTTTCCGAAACATATCATTACAATGAAATATATCAGACAATACAGGCAATATCAGACAAACAATATGAAAGGTGTTTGTATTGTAATAAATATTTGTATGAATAGCTGGCATCTTTTTCTCCATAAAAATATGCTAAACTGACAGCGCTAAGGGGTGTTAATAGGGGGGAGTTATTTTTCCTATATGCTAGGTATTCTAACACACGAGAACGAAAATGTTTGTTGCATACTCAATTACATATAGCTCTCACACTTATATCAGAATTATGCTTATTGGAACAGATATTGAAAATTTAAACAAAAATGAAAGAGTTTCTGGAAATATGCACTTATTAAGAAAAAAAAAAACAACAAAAACACTTGCTTTATATAAGTTGTATAGCAAATCTAATTTTAAAAAAGCAAAGTCAAAATGTATTTGTTACCGTCGAATGTGAGGAAATGTGTTAAGAACTTTAACCTTTGCAATGAAATGTAGATTTAATATATTCTTTACTTATTTCTGTTTTATCATTGAAAGCATACAATTATCTTCTTTCGAATTCAGCTTTTAAAAAATGATAATGCAGCATGTGGTTCTACATAAAAAATATCATCTATAAAGTTAGTTGTACTTATCAATGTACATACATTTACAGATTCATCAGTTAACTTGTGGGACCGAAAGTGATGAATCTAAGCCACCAGGCTCCAGAATGTACTTAGTTCAATTTTTGTATTTTGAAATCTCTTAACTTTGGATGGACAGCCAAAAATTCAACACAGGACTAATCTTTTACAAGCGTATAGCAGATTCTGGGTAAAATCATTATAATCTTGTTCAGTACCAAGCAAAAACTTGCATGCTGTTTGGAATGTATGGAGCGTAAAAAAAATCATTTTTTTTTTCTTTCGTAGAACACTGTTGGCAGCAGTTTAAAGCTTAACGAAGGAAGTGCCAAATGCCTGTATTTAAGACAAATAAATGACATGAAATATGAAAGTTTCGGCACAATTTAGCGTGGAATGAGATGGGTTTAACATATATTTTTTTGTCCGAAATGTAACACATTTGCTTACACTAGGCTAATTTTGTTTCCAATATGAAATATTTAAATTCGCGATAATTACGAGTTATTCATTGCCTTAAGTTATAATTGATACTAAGAAGTTATATATGTATTGCTAGTGGGATGTTGACATGTATCTTTACTTATTATTATGTTTATTTTATAGATATGACCATTTCTTTTTAAATTTGAAAAATCATGCTGTTTAGTACGACTTAAGGAGTAATTAATAAAACACCCAACAAAACTCTCTTTGCAAACGCGATTCTTTGTAACAAAGTCCAGTTCAATGTATACTGAATAAAATAAGAAATAGATTGTTCGAATATTTGAATAAATATCTTTTGTAAAAGAATTGTTTAGTAATTATATTATCTCAGTATATAGTTTTAAGCATGGATAATAGAACGAAAAGAGAAAGCTTGATTCTAAAAGAGTTCTGCATTCTATGTAGATTATGTGTCAATGACATTATTGCACTGGCAACATTAACAAGATTCCTAACAGTGTATTGACTATATCAGTGGTATACATCTGTGATCAAGTCCAACTTATCTCATGTACCGTACGGATCAACGTAAAGTCTGCCTATTGATACGGTGTTATACTATTTACCTAGCCTAACCTGTAGATGATAATCTGTTTGAAGTTGTGGCGGCAACATGGACGCTCATTTTATCATAACTGACGAGATATTAGCTAGATAATTCATTTACCATCCTACTCTGTACTACCTCAAACTCCTACACAGAGCACTGCTCTCACAAGTTATTTTATCAAAATTTAGACAAAATGTAATACACAAAAAATATTTTGATTGCGATATACTTTATAAAGGTAGCTTTTCGCTATTAGCTTGCTAAAATGCAATAAAAAAATTAAAAGGACAACATGTATATTATTATGCAGACATTTTCGGTCAGTTGAAATCCAAGAAAAAATCTTCAAAATTGTATTCAGTTTATAGATAAGTTTCGTTCCATTCGCTTTTTTCAGCTACAAAGATGACATTTTCGACTTAACAGTTTTTTACGTAACTTCCATTTTTGAAGTCACGTGCCGTTTTCTACGGTCACGTGGAATTTGTGAAGTTGTGATGCCCATGTTCATATAAATATTCATGGTATACATAATGACATGTACTTGCAAAGTGATTATACGTTATTTTACATATACACTGTATATTTTTTAAACTTTTTTCCATATTAAAGCCTTTGAAAATAACACAATTTATGCAAAGAGTAACTGGCATTAAAAATAAAATATGAACTTCAGAATGATTAAAAAAAAAGATATTGTAAGATAATTAGTTTTTATTCTGCTTCTATTTATAATTTCAATTTCATGTCACAATACAATGGGACCGTGTGGCTACTTTCAGGTTATAACGTTGGATGAAGACCTAGGTGTTCTCAGCAAATATTGAGACATCTTCGAAAAGTTTTTTCTAATTTTGAACTTGATGAATAGGAAACATGAAAGTGTTTTTAAATGTCTTAACATTTTATTAAATATTTTTCATACGTTTTTTCATTACATCGAAACGTCAAAATGTTTTCTTTCAGGGTTCTTGTTCTTCCATAAAACTTTTAATATCTCAGGTAATATAAATTATGCATGTAACTTTTCCTCAAAGCATGAATTTATTTCGAAAATTTCTTTCCATTTCCTATCTGGTTTAAAGTACAAACAACATACCTGTAAACTGTATTAAAACACACAGCATCCTATTTGTTTTGTCTACCTACTACTGGTTTATGCTTCCATTAAACTAAGATAGGATATTCAGTGAAAAGCGAATCTTTTTTTCCCCAAGATAATTTTGGCAGCGATGTTTAAGTAGTTTTAGAAAGTGCCAACATTTTCTGAAGTATATGCTAGTCAACATTTCTCTAAATAACAAATGACCTTGAACTTAAATTTCTTTGGCGCAAAGTTGAGACTGAATAAAAGCTTCAGAATCCGTAAGAAATTAATATCAATATTAAAGTATTAATAATACAGTTAAAACTAAATACAATAGCTTGTGTATAGTCAGTCAATCAGATGTACTTTTCTCACAGAACAGAGCTTATGAACTTTCTTAGATGCAGTA